TTAGGGGTTTTCGAGGTTGCTCTTTAAAGTAGTGTGATTTGTTCGTTGCAAAGTCGACGTTCAGCGCCGATGATGCTTAACCAAGATTAAAATTCGGATTTAGAGGTTTTCAATTTTCTATTTCAATACAGGACCAAAACTCAGATTCAAGGGCTCTCGAAATTTTATGAATGGACAAACATCCGTGGCATGGATTTATGTAAAATTTAGACCCAATTTAGTGATTCTGCGTTGGAAGGTTTTTGTGAAGCAGTAATTTTTTCAAAAAAATTTTAATTTTAATTTTTTAAATAAAAAAATAACCAACAAAATACTAAATATTTGCAGTAAACCATTTTTCGGTGATGTTTTCTTTTTCCAGTCGCTTGTGAGCGTTACATTTTTCGTGCTTTTCCATGTTATTTACTGGGTCTTAAAATATTGAAAGTATCCTAAAAACCGGAACAGATTTGAATCTGAATGTTTCTAAAATAATAAAGATGTCTTTCTCTATTGTTTGACACTACTCCGAGCTTTCTACGTCTACTACGAAGCTTTCTGGCACTGAGCCAGCCTCGATGACCTCAGTGACCTGTGCTACATCAGTTTCAAGAAATACTTGGTTGGGTTATTATAAGCGCTGTACCTTAACGTATTCTTGAGAATGAAGTCAGGAGAAGAAAACACTAAGGCATTACATAGTGTTCCTGCATCTGGCACAATTCTATGAAAGTAATCCGGTTTTTGTGAAAAAACATTTTTTTCTCCAAAGAATTGTCCAAAATTCAAATCCTATTGATATTGCACATAACATATACCATTATCGAAAAAACGATCCCGAGAACCCTTAAAACCTGAGTATTGGTCTTGTATTGAAATAGAAAATTGAAAACTTCTAAATCCGAATTTTAATCTTGGTTAAGCATCACCGGTGCTGAACGTCCACTTTGCAACAAACTAATCACGCTAGTGAAAAGAGCAATCTCGAAAACCCCTAAGTCCGAAATTTGGTCTTGATTGGAGCAAATTAACTTCTGAACTTCGATCTTGAAAGTTTCTTTGAAATTCCGGTTTCATCATTTGGAGCGAAAACTAAATGAGGGGGCGGGGCTTGGATGTCTTGGTCTCCTGAGGAGCTCGTAACTGTAGCGAGCCCGGATGTGCCTGGCAGGCACATCACTTAGGTGCGAGAATATGGCTCGGGTGAGAAACTTCCGCCCCCCTGCTCGATTACCCCCCTGTGCGAACTCTCAGCCCCGCAGCCCAAACTTTGCAAAAAAATCGATAAAATCGATAAAAGCAATGGACGATTTCAAAAACTAATGTTGTATTCGTAATGAGCATGCTCGATTACCCCCCCCCCCCTGTGCCAACTCCCAGCCCCGTAGCCCAAACTTTGCAAAAAAACCGATAAAATCAATAAAATCGATATCGATCGATGACGAAAAGTAGCTTGACACCCGCCCGTCCCCGAAGTGTATGTGTGCCAAGTTTGGTCCGGATCGGTTCAGAGATAAAAATTTCTATTCGGAACATACGTACATACATACAGACATACATACACACAGATATACAGACTTACAAACAGACGTTCAGCTTTATATATAAGATAAATAGATAGAGTCGTACATGTTGGGCGTAACTATCTCCTTTTTATTGCAGATGCTGCTCTCATGTTGGGTAGCGTGGTGATGGCCTACATGATGACGATCTCTACAGGCAAAAACTGTGACGATGTCATTATTGAGCACAGACCAAAAAATGAATTAAATTAGCCAGAGTATAAGCTCTGCTCCTCGTTTTTATTTTTATTCAAGTCAATCTTCATTCAGTCTTATATGCAATGAAAACAAGACTTTCATGACTCTTTTTGGCTATTGCTAAAAGATATAGCGCTGTGCTTTGTGAATTATGTTTTTGTCACTTGCATTTATTTCGCGGACGTAATGTATGACCGCATAGTATGTAATATCGCGCGCGAGTAAATAATTTATTTGAATATGTAGGGCGTACCCAGCAGCTCCACCTCTTTTTACTTCGACTTCTCAAAATCATAGGGGTACCCTGACTAGAACATGTAAAGTTTCAAGCATTTAAATAATTACAAACTCAATATAAATTTGAGGAAAACGAACTATTAGGTTGTCTCATCTCATAGGGAGTGCCCACATACGAATCTCTATTAGGACGTTTGTTTTTGCCCAAATACAACCACACGTCCAAATTTATGTACAATAATTCGTCACAAAAATTGCGTAACTGTGATAACATTGACAAAGGGCCACGTTCCAGTACAGCTGCAACAGCATTCCGTTTGCGAGACGCAGGCAGCGATGTTTGCGTGTTCCCCACTGTTGCGGCTTAGGAAGGAACCCGTAAGCAAAATCCTACAAAGTCAAAAAAGCATAGCGAGAAAGTCTTAAAAAGTTAGTAGTAAAAAGGCTGTAAATTGTTTCATTGATTAAAAGCTGACAAAATACCAGAACCCAGAATAATAGCAACTTCTACACCTTTAGAAAGGCCATATGCGTTGCGCACGTCATACTGTTAAGACTCATGATGCTGCTCAATAATTACTACAAAGACCAAAGCATCTCCCCCCCCCCCCTCCCTCCCGACAGAAATCCTGGGTATGCCCTGGTAAGGTGGTAGCGTAATCTACTTCGGTAACACCTCCATTAGAGTTGAAAGTCTAATATAGAAAGATGGCGAACAATAGTTTGCGGCACGCATGTCTATACCGATACATATGCGCCTCGAGGCACCAAAAATTTTATTAGGTTGGCACATAAGTTTTGCACCTTTGTCTTATAACTTCTGCCTTTTTAAACGTGGCGCTTCCATTTTTTGGTGTTATAATGATATCATATGAGCAACGAATGCAGCCAGTTCTGCCGAATTTCAACAATGCATTTGAGAGTTACGGTCAATTATTGAATGGGAAAAAAATGGAGTTGGCACTTGTGACTTGGTTTAGGGGGTTATGCGAAATCCTGACTACGAAAATGATGATCATTCTGCCTGAAAAGCTTATTTTACTATGAAGTCGAGTTACAAAAACTTATTAGGCTATTTTGATCCTGATAGCGATTGAATATGATACTCGTGTTCAGCGTCAAGTTACCCCACTGTCAAAGTTCCGACGCTTTATCATTGAGGGACTTTGACGCATTCGGCAATTCAAGTTCACGGGATCGCCAGATTCCAAATTGATTTAGAAACAATGCTTTCTTAGCTGAGCTTGGTAACCAACCTCTGAAAACATTTTGCCTATAGTTCTGGCTAAATTTGGTCAATTCTTTTTCTGTACGTCTTCGTTTTTGCTAAAAACCCGTAAAAAATCAATTTTGACCGCTTTTAGGCAACTGCGTAGATCTTTTCCAGTTTGCTATAAAAATCAAACGGCTTGCGCAGATTTTTAGCTCACTTTTGAGCCTACATAATCTCAAATCTGGAAAATCAAAATGTGCCTCTTTCAAAGAGGGAGAAGTTATGGACATGCAAGACTTACGTGCCAACCTAATATATTCTTGGGCAAGAATGCAAAGGCTATAAGGACTCGAGCATATTTCGCGATTCTAGTCGCAGCGCCATCTGGCAGTTTGCCAGATTCATTGCCTTGGAGTGCCTTGAAGTATAAATAAGTACAACGACCTTAACAAAACTTTCCTATTTTCGGACCTCTTTTCAAAAACGTGGACGAGTGGCGTAGTGGTATGAGGCTGCGCTATGACCAGATCGAACACAGGTTCGATTCTCGCCCCTGGGTCAATCAAGCCCCCGACCCTCCGGGGCCGGTGAATCGGCACCAGAGTAATCTGGAAGGATGAAAGCACTGACTTGGTGTACGGCTAGCCTCCAAGTCACTGTAATAGGCTCGCACGCATACAATCCTCTTCGATTATGAAGTAGTGTGCGTTCGACGCATGCCCGCAGAGGGTATTGAAGACGCCGAATTCTTTATCCTTTATTATTTTCAAGAATTCTTATGAAAAGACTACTGCGGGACGAAGGTGCAGAACAGTATGATTTGAGCGAGCGCAAACGCGACGCACGCGTAACCCTGCGTTACATACGCTTTCGGCTAATAAAGGCGCGTTCGCGGCTCCTCAGACAGCGGATAGGACCCCTCCGCTGGAGAAATGGCAGGGCCGCGGGGTTTCCCCAGCGGTGGGTCTGCCACTCGTCCGCCGGAGCCCTCCCATTTCTGCTCCGGAGACTTCCCATTTCTGCTCCGGAGACCTCCCATTTTCTGCTCCGGATACCTCCCATTTTTTGCTCCGGATACCTCCCATTTTCTGCTCCGGAGACCTCCCATTTTCTGCTCCGGAGACCTCCTATTTTCTGCTCCGGATACCTCCCATTTTCTGCTCCGGATACCTCCCATTTTCTGCTCCGGAGACCTCCCATTTTCTGCTCCGGAGACCTCCCATTTTCTGCTCCGGAGACCTCCCATTTTCTGCTCCGCAAGTCTGCCGCGGCATACTGTAGCCCTAATCAAGCTCCAAACCCCAATTTTGTCTCTAAACCCCACCCAAATTAGCCGAATACGACCCCCTCCCCCCCCGGGTAAGAGTTCAGCGCGACCCTCAACCCCGTTCTTTACCCACTCCCTCTCACCCCTAGCGTTTGTGGATAGAAGATAGAAGAATGAAGAAACAATACATTTATTTCAAATCAACTACAAACAATCTCCTGCAAATTGCAAAACAAAACTTAGCGGCTACAAAACGGACAACACCGACAACAGTTGCCGGCAACCTATGGCCGTAACAACAGACACAAGACATAACATAAGACGTAGTAGTAGTATTGCTAATAAGAAGAACTTTATGCAGGAAAGAAGACCCAAACCGGTGAACACGAGATAGCAAAAGCACATATCGACAATTTTGATTGCAGGTTTGCCATCATTTCAAATGCAAACTTAGAGTAGTTTTTTTTGCGAAAAAGATGGAACACAAACTTTTTGCATGATTTAGCATTAGATCCCACACGTGTGAGTATATTTGAAAATAACTCTATTTAGAGAGAAAGTCGAACATCTCTCGAAGAAAAATAACGAGCACTTGCCTCGTCCCATCTCTATCAAAACTTCTGCTGTGAAGTAGACCAAACGCGGAGAACAGTTTGAGAGTAAAATTTCCGAGAAATTTGAAATCCGATTCTTTGAACTCAGCCATACTCAGGCTAACCTAAACACCAACAAATGGATACAAGGACAGAATGTGGAGATTAAACATGCCTTATTCGTTTCCGGATTAAACTTCGGTAAGCGATGTCGGGGACATGGCACAAGCTTGAAGAGTTGTGGTAAAGAGTATAGAAAATTAAATACCTGAAGTACACAAAACTCGCAGAATCCGCAATAGAATCACAGTCTATGAGAACAATAACGAACGACGGCCGTAAAGTACAGTCGAGTAGATTTAGCGGTAAATATAGTGTGCTTGCACAGAAGATGAAATGCGGTGAAATTTGCGCGTGAACAAGTAGCCACGTCAGTACCGCGGGTATCTTGCGCGCGCAATTGGCCGACGTCACAGTCGAAACTATTTCTTCACGCGCCAATTTCACCGCATTTCACCTTTTGTGCAAGCACACTATATTTATCGCTAAATCTACTCGACTGTACCTGTGGATTAAGGAACAGTATCATATCGGTTTCGGTCGTATTATCAAATAAATCTCACATGGTCTTGCTAAAATGACCAAGAATTGATACGACGGCTAGAGTCATCCCTGCCCAATAACAAAATCTATCACAAACAAAAACTCGTGCTGGATACTAAAATTAGGGTTTAGTGAGAAGCAGAAAGGGAAATCTGGCATCACTTACTTTATTGAATTGATAGAGAGCCAATGTACACGTTAAGAAGGGTATCAGAAAGTAGAGTGACAGCAAATGGTCCCAATACTGTTCTTCTACACGCGTAACCGTAACTGAATGTGAGATTCATTTGATAATACGACCGATACCGATAGTCTATACGTTTACCATGAATCTTGGAAGATACGTAGCAGATTAGGTAATGAATGACGCCGACTCTGAGCGCACATACACACTTGAACAGAACACGTACTTAGATCTACACATGGCTGCGCAAAGCGCGCCCCATGACCCGGCGCCAAATTAGCCAGCGCGCATGGTTTACGATGCCGGAGCACGCTAGGTACAGACTTGATCCCTAGGTTTCAGTGAAAATTAAGAGCTCCTCTACAATGCCTTTTTCAAACATTAGTCAAATGAAAAGTTTTATCAGGATGGACTGAGGCATCAATACTTCTTTGGTTTCTAACGAAAAGAACTGGATAGAAGTTCTAAGATAGCTTTCAACAAATCAATCAACAAAGAAGTTCTGAGCTGGTTTCGTTAGAAGCCAACTTAGAACTCCTATCCACTAGTCTTCAATTGGACTTGCATCAAACGCTGGATAGGAGTTATGAGAAAGTACATATAGTATGACTGGCACTATACGACACGTTTATGGGCAAAGACTCGGTCGTAAGGACAGAAATCAACAATACCTACAATACAGCTTTAGCCGCCTATGTCAGAGAACTTTCATGAATACTCTCTCCAGCTTCTTAATGAAGAAACTGTGGTAAATGCAGAAGGTGGACCTTTTTCAAATACGTAAACGAAGAGAAATCCTAGAAGAGACCCCTACTTCGCAAGTGTGAGCCTTCAATTACCATGAGAAAGCGCTGAGCTTATACGGAATATCACCTTACGTTAGATTTGAGGTGTTAATATGTGGAAGACCTCCAGGGAAGACAAGTGACAGCACTCATATAACCTATTTACGCGTAGAATAGAAGTCCACAATGTCTAGCGTGCCCCAACAGCGAAGATCCTGCGCGCCGGAGAAATTCGCACTGGGGCATGGGGCACGCTTTGCGCAGCCATGTGTAGATTTGAAGGCAGTACCTCGGCAGAATGAGACCCGTGACAAAACAAGGTCACAGGGTAGGAGCCCCCATATGGAACCTATCGGCCAAAGTCCGATCTTTCTCTGCCACTTCTAACCCCCAAAATTTTAACGCGGAAGCAGCGCTCATCTCCTGTCCTCTCCGAACCCGCCCACCCCATGGACGAGTGAACGCGAAGCCCGTCATGCCGAAGACGCAGAGTCGTTGCGGGACCTCATGCTCATAGCATTGCGGCTGGCGCTCTGACCGCGAAAGTCACTCGTCCATGGGATGGGCGGGTTCGGAGAGAACTGTAGATGAGCGCTGCTTTCGCTTTGAAATTCCGGGGGTTAGAAGTGGCAGAGAAAGATCGAACTTTGGCCGATAGGTTCCATATGGGGGCTCCTACCCTGTAACCTTGTTTTGTCACGGGTCTCATTCTGCCGAGGTACTGCCTTTAAGTACGTGTCTTGAACAGGCAATCCGCCGTGGAGCTCAAGCATGAACAAGTGCGAAACAAAAAAGTAGACTCACTCGGATTATATACTTTTTGTTTCGAAAATCCAGAATTAATCACAAAAACCACTCCATCAATAGTCAATGATGTCTCAGCAAGTCGAAAAGAGCCAAGCACTAGAAGTGACTAAGTGCATCCGCACGAAAAATTGAAACCTAAATCTGAAAACGAGGAACTTACAACGACATAAAAGCCAACGCGACAAAGAGCAACGCGGAAAAGAAAAAAACGGTAAGAAACGCGGAGAAACAACAAAATCAAAAAAACGACGACTAAAATATGAAGAAAGAGCGTAAACAGAGGACTCATCACCGTGGAGTTAGACGTTTGCTTGCTACGCGCCAAATCGATACGCAGCCTGCTCCGGAGCCCTCCCATTTGTGCTCCGGGGCCCTCCCATTTCTGCTCTGGATACCTCCCATTTTCTGCTCCGGATACCTCCCATTTTCTGCTCCGGAGACCTCCCATTTTCTGCTCCGGAGACCTCCCATTTTTGCCCCGGACCCCTCCGATTTTCTGCGGCCCGGCTCTTCCAAATCTGGCGGACTCACGCCGGGCAAATTTCTCCAGCGCGGCTCTGCCAAATCTGGCGTACCTCCGGAGCAAAAATGGCGTACCTCTGCAGCAGGGCCGGAGAAGCGTCCCATTTGCCTGCCAGTGATGTCACCGCGACCTACAAGAAGGGACCGCTCATTTGCCCCGCTCTCATTGGTCAACTGGGTCCGGCGCGACTCTGGCAGATTCCGACTGTCCGGCGGAGGGGTCCGGTCGATTGTCTGAGTCAGAATTGCGTCTTCATCAAGCACTAGCTCATACGTGCTTAACACGTTTCGGACCGCGAAATCGCGCGCGGCGAAAAAAAATGTACTTTCAGCCGTTAGCCTACAAAGGGACCTTATTTTGCAGCCTGTGGGCCACATTTGTAATCAGCATGTCAGATGAGCTCCATATCTAAAATTCTGAGTGAATTCGAAGTTTTAAATTTTATCGCTTGAAAGGGACTTTTGCGCTTTCTTGAAAGATAGGAACAAGAACTTAGATTCTAATAGTATTCAAAAGTATCTATGTTGTACACGGTACACATCAGTATTGAAACTACGGTTTTTCTCTTTGATATCGAAGCAAAGGACGTTGCGACGTCGCACGCGTCGTTCGCATCGCCGCACTTCGTTGCAAGTGTTGTTTTCGATTTCTCATACCTCCTGAACAAATATCGGCGGCACAACTCTACGCAGTCTCATGAAAAATAGGAGCTTAGACCTTTGACTTAACAACTTTAGATCAAAGGAAAACCTCCTGCAAACGCCAAAAAGATCCCTCAAAGACCTGTGCTGCACCATGTGCAGCACAGGTCCGAAACGTGTTAAGCTAGAAATTTTTTCATAGGTTCAATGAGGACTGTCTTTTTGCCACATGTCTAGAATAATCAAGACGTTTCGGTTCAGTTTAATATAGTTTTTTTCCCTAAATCGCTTTTAATGACTTCGTTCATTTTAACATGAATCAGAAACTATTCAGCTGTTTTTTATGTAAGCTGACCATGCAAAATTAACCAGGAAAGTATAATATATATATATGACGCCTCAAAACTCGCTATCGCTTGTTTCGCCGCTTAGATGATCAAACTTTAACGCACTTCTCTTTGGACAAATCTACTATGTTCATTGTAAGATGCATGACTTATTCATTATGTTAGTATTCATTTTGAGTTGAAAGTGGGGCAATTATTGGTCAAAAGACAGACTAAACTTACTTTGATATTTAGGTTACACAAACTCTTGGTAAGCCTGTCAAACCTGCAAATGACATGATGATTTTTTGACAAGTGGCAAGAGGTTGCCAGTCCTTTCTGTTAAGTTGGTCCAAATAAGTACAAGGGAAGGAGCGAAAAGGAGCAGTACCTTTTTTTTGGAAAAATGGTTCCGGATAGCGGAAGAGCACCGCCCTGACTTCAGTACATTCAAAAAAATGAGTACGATAAAAGAGTAAAGGATAAGGGATTCGGCGTCTTCAATACCCTCTGTGGGGCATGCGGCGAACGCACCCTACTTTATAGTCGAAGAAGCTACTGAATGTGTGAGAGCCTATTACAATGACTTGCGGTGGCCAGCCGATTACCAAGTCAGTGCTTTATCCTCCCAGATTACCCTGGTACCAAAATCGCTGGCCTCGGAGGATAGAGGGCTTGGTTGGTTCAGGGACGGGGATCGAACCTAGGCCCGATCTGGTCATAGCGGCGCCTAATACCACCGCCACTCCTCCCCAATTAGTACGATGAGTTATAAATAGTTGAAATTTTGCCAGATCGCGTCGCGACTAAATTCGCATGAAGTATGCCCGGGTGTAGTGCTGCATCCATTGCGGAGTACGTTTCGCATGTCCGACGGACTTCTGTCCACTTCTTCCCTTTGTGGGTCCCCCCCCCCCCCCATGGAAACAGTTTGAGTTTTTGCGATCAACCCGTATCTCAAACTAATCGTTCCAGTACCTGAAAGCTCATCACGATCGTCTGGTCGTTTATCAACCTCGTGTTGACGTGGATCTCACAACGTACTCAGAAACTCAAGACTTTCAGTTTGATCATGTCTTTGGTGGGAAGGCATCCACTGAGACAGTCTACAAGTTGTGTTTTTTTTTAAAGCTAATTGGTAGCTTTTGTTTCCAAAGGTCGTTAAGGTCCACAGCACAACCATTAGTAAAAACAGTCTTTGAACAAAACTCTGCTTTGTGTTTTGCTTTCGGACAAACGGGTACAGGAAAGACACATACCATGAACGGTGATTACATGAATGACAAGCAGGTATTTGTGGCCCTTGCGGGATAGCAACTCCGGACTACTTATGAGTTTCTTTTTCTAGAATTATGCTAATAGTATTTACGCTATGACTGCAAACGATGTCCTCAAAATGCAACATTGCCAGCAATACAGTGACCTGAATCTTGCTGTCAGCTGCAGTTTTTTCGAGGTCGATGGTGGAAGGGTATGCATTACCCGCTGTCCACATTGAGCCGCACTCCAATCAATTGTTGCAGGTATTTGACCTTTTGAAAAATAAAACTTCACTGCGAGTCCTCGAGATAGGCAAGAAAATACAAGTTGTTGGAATGGAGGAGGTTCCAGTCATCTGCGAAAGTGATGTGAGTTTGAGTCATCTCAAAATAAATATAGTCGTCATTAGAATACTCGGACTGCACTCTGCGTTAGGGTTGTTTCATAGTGCTGCACTGACTGCAGCAGACTGCAGCAGACCGCACTGACCGCAGCAGACTGCAGTTGACTGCAGCATACCGCACTGACCGCAGCAGACTGCAGTTGACTGCAGCTGACCGCACTGACCGCAACGGCAGCACAATCGTTGCATTCTTTCGTAAAAGAGGAAACAATTGCGATTATGTCAAAATACTGTGGTTTACGCCTAGGAAGTTCATAGCTTCTAATTTATTCTCTCAATCAAATTTCGGCGATTGTTTTTTTTTGTATGCTCAGATTTGCTTTGATTCCTCCTATTATTGCTTATACCTGTTTTGTTATCTAGGCGCATATTATTGTTGATTGTTTGAGCTCTGAAACAACCCTTAAGCTACCTGTACACTCATGGCTGGTAGCTAGTAGCGGCAGCAGTCACCTCTAGGAGGAAATAAAATCACATTTCTTACAATTAGAACATAGCATGAAAGTTAGTCTTATGGCTTGCCACACCCCACTAATCATGTCACGAAACAAAGTATGGAATAATATCTTTATGATTCAATAGCTTTATCTAGCAGTTTTGATAGAAGTGGTTTGAGCTCAGTTGACTTCTTCTGGCAAGGGAAGGATATCGGGTCGACTCAGCAAGGAGATGTGATTTATAAAAGGCAGCGTCCCGGCAAAGTAATGGCTACTGGGATTTTACAGCATTGCAATGGTAGACCCTTCAACTCCTCAGTGAAGTCTGGAGCGAAAAAACGCATCTGGAAAGCGTGAAGTCCCCCGTGAAAGCCTTCGAAGTCCGGACCCCGCCCACTTACACGCATTTTACAGCGAATGCGAATGAAGAAATTCGGAAAAAAAGAACTCATTTTCGTCGTTTTCATGCTCCGAAAAGCTATGATATGGGTTCAGCATGGCAAGAAGGTTCCGAAAAGGTGGGAAACTGAAGAGCGAAAATTTGCCAACACTGCTTTTAAGATCCCTTCGGAACAGTGACAACATATCAGCCTTTCAAGACTGCAAAACACTTCTTTGAAAGAAGTTACAGACCCCTAAATGACGGGTTTTGCTCTGTCTATTCGAATCAAATACGAGTGACGGTGCCTCGTTGGTAGAGACGCTGATAATTGAGAAAGCATTTGGTTTAGCATTTATTAAAGTTTGACCTACGAGGCTGGGAGTTGGCACAGAGGGGTAATTGGGCATGCTGATTACAAACACAATATTAGTTTTTGGAATTACCTGTTACTTTCATCGATTTTATCTACTTTCTGGCAAAGTTTGAGCTACGCGGCTGGGAGTTGGCACAAGGGGGGGGGGGGTAAGTGAGCATGCTTACTAACACAACGGGAATAGGGAAATGGCATGTAGAAATGGGCACAGAAAAAGGTTGTAAAGTAATAAACTCGACCAGTTTCCTTGACTTTTGCAGTGGTTCTAAGTCCTTGAACACGCTCCATACTTTGAAGGAAGTTGATCACGAAAAACTCTCAACTACCAGTAAGATAAAACCAACAAGTGATCTTTTGGCTAACAGAAGTATGGTCTCATGAGGAGTTTGTTTGTTCTGAATTGAAACTCGTACGAATAGATAAGTTTATCAATGTTTAGTTACATCGTCATACACTGCGAAGACAAACAGTTACTAGCTAATCATGTTTGAAGTCAATCTGTTGCCTTTGACTGCGTTTCCATATGCTTTCTCAAACTCCAAACTTGTAAGCGACTTTCTAAAATCGTGTATAGCGGTTTTCTCACATCGTACACCAATCTGGATTAAGTCATGACTCATGTACCATCGGTATCAATTTGCTTAGGTGCTCACACAGGAAAGTGAAAAGTCAATCTTCCATATACCCAATATATTGCTGCGATTGATTCTGATTACTCTTGCTCTTTTTTTTTGCCAGCGTCACCAGCTGATGTCGCTTGGTTGAAGGTAAAATGTATCTTTACTTGATATTCAGCAAAAAAAGTTGAAGTGGTTTTTAGCTGTTTCAGGAAGTCCGAAAACAGAGAAACAGTGAAAATTCACTCCTTAGGTGTCCTTAGGTGTTTTTGCAAAAACGGCATATATATATATCTGTTGGACTAAGGCCGAGCCATCACTTTTCCAGCGGAAACCCTGAGAAGAAAAGCGAAAATAATAAAGAACTAGCCAAAAAACGATCTGATGGGCTGCGAAATCAGCAGATGACGACTGACAAAGCGCCAGATATGAACGCCGTCCCGTCATGCATGGGCGATGCAAACGCATCAAACCAATGCGGCGCGGAAAACACCAAAGCGGATTGATACTGATGGTACATAACTCATGACTCAATCTAGGATGATTTACGATGTGAGAAAATATCGCTTACGAAGAGGACTCTGAGAAAGCATATGACGCAGTGGAAGGCAACAGATATGATATTCATATGATTAGCTAGTGACTGTTTGTCCTCGCAGTGTATGACAATGTAATAAAACCTTAATGAACTTATAAACCTGTACGAATCTTAATTTGGAACAATTATCCTCATGAACCTACTTCTGTCAGCCTTATCGCGTCAATGTCGTCCGCTGAGAACCGTGGAAGCGAGCGGGCTACACATATGGCACCGAGCAGGACGCTAAAGCTGGCAGCGGGTGGACTGCTACAAGATCAGCGGGAAGCGAAAGTGGCGGCGATAAGGGCACGCGCTTTTGGTGGGTTCGGTGGGTGGCTTTGTGGCTATCGGCTGACTTCGATAGTATGACAAGAGCTGATCATGACTCACTATCAAATTACCTTTCCAGTTCAGCCTCGGGCCAAAAAGTGAGGAGGTGGTTTTTCTGCTCCCCCTATCGCAGCTATAGATCAAAAACCTGCCTACCGCTTTTGCGTTTTCAATTTCGTAATTTACCGGTTTCAAATTCGTAATTTCGTAATTAATTTATTTTTCGTAATTTGAAAACTCTTGAAGGACCATTATCAGTAGTTTTCGTTATGACTGCGTTTTAAGGCAGTGGATCGGCAAAATTCAACAACTCAGGATTTCAACGCGGTAGGTCCTTATTGAAAAACCTGTAGAAACAAGGACCCGTAACTTCTCTCATAAACCGCGATTGAAAAGCGAATACACTATCAGCTTCGAGAAGGGACCATGATGATGTACGTCTCCTTGCTAAACTCCCGTGCGGCTCGGTATCCTTTACTCGTGAGAGTTTTTTAAAGATACAACTACTAAAAGAGAAAATGGGATAACGAGGGTCTGGCTTAGCTCTTATATCCGGTTTACATGGTGGTTATGGAAATGTTCATTATTCTTAATAGGGCCTCTAGATCAAGCTAGTATACCGTAATTCATCTGAGACTACGATTCATCGCACTCATAGCTGAAAGACAAGCGTACGATAAAGATAGCTCGTAGTTGAGAGACAGCAGAAGATAAGAGAAATGCAAAAGTGCATGAGCAACGAGACTTCGATAGCGTCCGTGGGAGCCTGTCTTTGCGACGCTGAACGCTGAACGAATCCACCTAGGGTTTTCGACTAATGGCAACCTCAAGAAGCGTGTTAGGGCGGGACTATCTCCAGCTACCTTTCAATATGCCCGATGAGCGTGCTGTACAATTTTCTCACATAGATTATCCTCGCTGGCATATTGAGGACAGTGCGTGGAGCCAACCCCAAGAGCAAGATGAGCTTCGCAAAGGATCCACCTGCATGGAACCCAACCAGACGGTTTCGAGGATCATAGAAGTCTCTGGGAGGTACCGACTGCCTCTCGTAATAACCCTCCGCATCTACGAAAAAACCTTGAACAGAATCGAAACCAATGGAGGTAGGGAAAAGAACCCCGCCGTCTAAAGGCCGCCTTTGCGGTCGATTGGTCTTTTGCGATGCTGCTGGTTGTCGTTTGGGGACCAGTAGCCTGCGGAGGCGGCCCAAAATGGCGGAGTTCGTTCCCCCTGGCCAACCTATCAACGTTGGTCGATTGGAGGAGTGGAGCCTACGGCAGAACATTGACCGACTGCTATAAGGACTGCAAAACGACGGTGCAGCTATTCCATGGCCCCCTGACCACCTGAATGGGAAGAGAATTTGACAAGGTGTTCTTGCCATAGCTGCCCACATCTACTTTGCCGTGAGTGTTGAAGTAACTAAACTAGGACGACAGAGGCGTACGAGGTTGATAAATACCTCCAGTTTTCCTTATGTGGACGACAACGTCATCTCAAGTAGAATTTTTGAGACCCAGGTTGTCGCTGCGTGTCCTGTTCTATAATCACGACCCCAGCTGGCAAAGCCGTCGTTGAATGTGCAAACGAATCTGTAGATGGGTATAGTTGCTCGAGTGCGTGCATGGTGCCGCCATAGGGTTGGCACAGAAAGTGGTGAAATACAAGGACACATCGCGTGCGATGGCAGCCATTTTGGATGTATGCTTATGACTGCTTTTCATCTTCACTTTTCCTTCGCTGAACTTGTCACAAGTAGATAAGAAGGGCATGCTTGAAGGAGTTTGAAAAAATTTGCAATAATGTCCTGCATTGCAATAAAGCCCGCAAGGTATGGCTTCTTCGAAAAGTTATCTTGTTACAGGTCCTGCAGTTGATAGAAAAGGGAACACTTATGCGTACAACACGTGCAACTGCTGCAACCTATAACTCAAGCAAATCCCATGCCATCTTCCAAGTAACCCTCAGGAGGTTTATTGACTCTGCTTCAGTTTGATTTTTTCTCAATGTCTGTACAGAGACGGCAAGATGTGGGGGAAGATCTCTCTGATAGATCTAGCATCTGTCGAATTTGATGGAGATAGCAGCTTATCTAAGAAAACTCGTGGAA